TAAATGCTGTTATAATGCTCTCTCCATGTAAAAGTCAAAACCCTTCCTGATTCTTGCTTACCTAATGGCCTCAGCTACCTCTTGTAGCAATGAGTTTCTCAATCTAATTGGACACTGAGTTAAGAACACATTCTTTTTATCTGTTTCCAATGGACCATGCTTCATTAAATGTGCCCTGGTTCTTTTCTTAGAGGACAGGGAGAATACTTCCTCAATGTACACTCTAATGGTCAGTAATATAGTCTGTTCTCATGTCCTCTCTTATTACTTTCCCTTGTAAGTTAGCCAGCACAATCTTTTCAAACTCTCTCTGCTTTCAAACATTTCCACCCCACTATCAACCTCATCCTGGAACAATCCACACAAGAGTCCAACAATTCATCAATCCAACAAGGAAAATAAGAGAACACCGGTGATTATCTCCCAGAAACAATACAGCTGTATCAGCCTGGATCAGAATGATCTCATGGCATTGCATTTTCTCTATGATTCCCCATTCCACGCCTCATGGATCCCAATGTTTTGCTTAGGTTCTGTCACAGTGAACCCTGTGATAAGGAATTCTCAGAGCAGTGGGCCATGATGGCCAGGTCTCTGTACTATGTTTATACAATGAAATCAGAACTTTTTTAGGTGTTTGAGGGGTTCAAACTTTTCCATCCAATGGAATGACCGCAGTTGTCAACATCAAATTTCATCTGCTGATTAACATAAGAACATAAGAATGGACGTACTGGGTCAGACCAAAGGTCCTTCTAGCCCAGTATCCTGTCTGCCGACAGTAGCCAGCACCACGTGCCCCAGAGAGGGTGGACCGAAGACAATGATCAAGGAATTTGTGTCCTGCCATCTCTCTCCAGCCTCTGACAAACAGAGGCCAAGGACACCATTTCTATCCCCTGGCTAATAGCCTTTTATGGACTTAACCTCCATGAAATTATCTAGCTTCTCTTTAAACTCTATTATAGTCCTAGCCTTCACAGCCTCCTCTGACAAGGAGTTCATCTGCTGATTCATCTCTGAATTCTTCTCTGGACTTGAATTCACCTAAATAATCTGGTGCCACCTGTAAAGGTTGCCATTTCACTATTCACCTTCTTGTTAGATTACTCATAACTATAAAAATATTTATATTTTATCAAGTGTATAACCCCCCCTCACTGTCCTTCAGTTTAATGGTCCCAATGTTTTGCTTAGATTCTGCCCACATTTGCACTGTGAGCAGGATTTCCCAGAACTGTGTGTCAAAGGTGCCAAGGTTCCTGTCCTGAGTACATATCATTCAATTAGTCAGAAATAGGAGGGAGTGTAGGCTGTAATAGCAGAGAGAAAGCAGGGACAAGGCAGAACTGTGAGGCAAGATCAAATCAGTATCTTAGTTGCCTATATAGAAATGGAAGAAGTATCGGTAATAAGCAGGAAGAACTGGAAGTGTTAATAAATAAATACAACTATGACATCGTTGGCATCACAGAAACTTGGTGGGATAATACACACATATCAAGTGTATAACCTCCCCTCACTTCAGTTTAAGTATCCCAATGTTTTGCTTAGATTCTGCCCACATTTGCACTGTGAGCAGGATTTCCCAGAACTGTGTGTCAAAGGTGCCAAGGTTCCTGTCCTGAGTACATATCATTCAATTAGTCAGAAATAGGAGGGAGTGTAGGCTGTAATAGCAGAGAGAAAGCAGGGACAAGGCAGAACTGTGAGGCAAGATCAAATCAGTATCTTAGTTGCCTATATAGAAATGGAAGAAGTATCGGTAATAAGCAGGAAGAACTGGAAGTGTTAATAAATAAATACAACTATGACATCGTTGGCATCACAGAAACTTGGTGGGATAATACACACAATTGGAATATTGGTATAGAAGGGTACAGCTTGCTTAGGAAGGACAGGCGGGGAAAAAAAGGAGGAGGTGCTGCTTTATATATTAAAAATGTACACACTTGGTCTGAGGTAGAGATGGATGTAGGAAACGTGCATGTTGAGAGTCTCTAGGTTAGGCTAAAAAGGGTAAAAAACAAGGGTGATGTCATGCTAAAAGTCTACTACAGGCCACCTACCCAGACAGAAGAGGTGGATGAGGCTTTTTTTAAACAACTAACAAAATCATCCGAAGCCCAAGATTTGGTGGTGATGGGGGACTTCAACTATCCAGATATATGTTGGGAAAATAACACAGCGGGGCACAG